AAGTTCATAGACGAAAACAGGTGTTGGAAAAACTGAACCCTCAGATGAGCTCATTAGCTTCTGAACCATTCCCAGAGGCAGGCAAAAATTTATTTGGTCCATACTTTGAAGAAAAGGTGAAGAAAAGGAATGAAATGGCGAAGATCCTTTCTAAAGCAGCCCCTAAGAAGCCAAACATGCAGTTTTTTCGAAGAGGGACCTCCTCCTAATTCAGGCCAGTGCGAGGGGGTCAGTTTTCTGGAAAATGGTCCTATCACCTACCAAGCTTCCCAACAAGAGGGAGAAGCTCATATTTCAGAGGCAGAGGCCGGAGCAGGGGAAGGTTCCCAGCTGCTCAACCAGGTCAGAACTATGTTCCACCCCAAAGTTCCCAGTAACAGTTGCACAAGCCGATAAAGGTATGCTACCACTAAAATAGAATTTCAACCTTCCATTTGTAAAGTCGTTTTAAACAGTTTAGGCCTTTCTTTACAGTCAAACTAAGTGAAGCGTACCCCTCAAGATTACATTAATGAATTGATAATTTGGATATTGAACCCGCCAGTCATTTCAAGTATGCAATAATGAATTGATTATTTGATTATTGAGCCCGCTAGCCGTTTCGTGAATGCAATAATGGATTGATTATTTGAATATTGAACCCGATAGCCGTATCCGTTTTGAAAAGACGCGGATCATTGTTCAAATTAGAAGTCCATTTCTGAAGTCCATGAAAATTGTTCTATTTGACGTGGAATCCTGAAAATAAACAAGCTGCAATGTAAAAACACCGCGAAAACAGTCGATCGCAAATATTAACGAAATAAAAAGTTTTGCGTTGGCTTCGCCCGTAAACTATTTTTTTCGACCATGAATACACACAAGAACTTCCACAAGTTCGTCAACATAGCAGAAAAAAAGCTCTAGATAACATTCCATTTGCAAAATTTACAAGAAGTTCTACACAACACTCGAACTCACCTTTTCCCCCATGTCTGACGCCATATTGAAATAGTTCCGATCCATCATCTCGTGTTCGCATAATCCAATCAGAAATGGACTTCTGATTTGAACAATGATCCGCGCCTGCGAGGAAAACATTTTATACGGAGGCATGGCCGAAAAACCGGGATAACGAAAAAGGAACAGTGTTATTCCTGCACGGGATAGATCTGACCTCTGCAGTGGGGATCAACATTGGAACCTTTCAAATCTTAGCAGAATTAGGACATAGAGCATTGGCTGTGGATTTACCAGGACACGGGAATTCCGCCAATGAAAATATTCCTTACTCACGGGATGATATTTTGGGCTATATGACAAATTTATTCACTGCATTGGATCTCCATAAACCGGTGTTGGTTGCGCCGTCTAAAAGCGGCGAGTACGCCATGTCTCTACTGATGGCCTACCCTCACATTCTCCGAGGACTTGAATAATCAGGTACAAATGTTATAACGTACCCTTTGATTGGAACTGGTATGCTGTGGCTGGTACTACAGGAGGTAACACCCGTGGCACAGTGCACTTTTTATCTTTGAACTTATTTCTTAATATTTCAAATTCAGCAAGAACCAGAGAGTGATGATAGCGATGACAGTAATGACGAGTCCAAAGATCAAAGTGAGCATGAGAAAATCGTAGAGCACACCAATCATGAAGAGCCTGAAGAGATGAGACTGAAGAGGTTGAAAAACCACAGGATAAACACGAGGATTCATCAGAGAAGAAAGACGAACCTGAAAAACAAGAAGAAGAATCTGAAGAACAGCACGAAGATGACGTCGAAGATGAGCCTGACAAGCCATTAAGCTGGGGAAGACGAACAGTTTATCGTGAATAAGGGTATGTTTAATAACCTTCTGCTTCTTCTGAAAAATAATAACTTTGATATATTGAGATCTTTTCACCAATTTAGAGGACTAATGGTAAACAACCTCTCATCATCATACCTTGCACAAATTGTTAGTTTCTCAAATTTCGTCACCATGTTTTCCTTGCTAAATTATGTTAAGTGGTTTATTCAAACAGTGAAAGAGCTTTTACACTACGGTGCCCCACTTTGTATAACATTCTCGCTATGAATAAGTCTGAGAGGAGAGTAAGTATTTAACACAGAGTAAGTTACTGAATGACTTCTTTTATCTTTGGGTCATATTACTATGTAACAGATAAAAACCAAACAGATAAAAATCTGCCAGCAGCCTCCGGGCGAGACTCTCCAAGAGCACCGTTGGCCACGTTTGACGATGACAGCGATTTTGATCAGTTTTACGAGGCGCTCGACGGCATAAAAGAAACGAGAGTGTAATCAATAACATCGTATTCTCAGATGAATCCATTTTATTCATAAGAAATTAACTTTAAAATCGATTAAGTATGTGTTTGGTTCTATCAAGACGCATATAGTGACTCTGAAATACCGAAACAGTAGTTTTCTTAAATAGTATCAAAATATAAGCTTGTTGTTTTATGTGAAAATATGTGCCCGTGTCCTACTATACATACCAGCTAAAAATTCGATAAGCTAAATGTAATAAAATGAGTCATTTTAAATTATTAGTTGCTAGGGATACTTGTTTACGCGCCAATTTATTGTTTAGGTTGAGGTTTGGCAGTAAATGTGGCATTTTGTACATGTACTATTAGAAATCAAAAGTATGTTACGTTCCTTCCGCGGTTGATAAGCCTTGAACTGTTATAACTTAATTATTATAGAGGCCCATCTCTGTTCTTTACAATAGTATTAATTCAGATCATACTTCAGTAGCGAGAGTGTACTTTGAAATATAAAATGTTTCCTGACCATTTTTGGAGGGTCGTATAAAGTTGCCGACTCGAGGCGGACACGCTTACCTGTAACATAAATCTGTAAGGATTTCTTCTTTACAGTTAACCTTTGAGTAGTCTTCTATATACTTCATTCAGATGTAATTTTAATTTCAGTTAAGTTAGTGTTAGATGCAGAAAAAGTAGCAGTGTATGGAGGTGTTTGATATATTGGGTCTGATCGGAACAGCAGGCGAACTATAGGCTGCCAGATTATTTGTCACTCCTTATTTACTTGTCATTTGTTAAAAATGATGAGATTTTATAATTAAGTGGATAGTTGTTTTGTTTGACAGTCCTAAGCTATGAATCATATTTATTCAATCTAACGCTGATATCAATACCTTGCTTAAGATTTGCTCATTACAACCTAAATGTTTCACATATTCAGTTGAGAGACCTTTTGTATAACATGGCGAAACCATAGATTGTATCTACTTGATTAAAATTTGAAGTTATCATCGATTTCTCACTCAAGCTGTTTAATATAATCTAAACAATTCATATCATTAGTTGATGGCTGTTTTGTATTACATTACTAAGCCATGAATCGTATTTATTCGATCTAACGCTGATATCAATACCTTATACTTATAATTTGTTCAATTCAACCTAAAAATCTGAGATACTCTATAAATGGCTGTGTTGTATTACAATGCTAAGCCAGGAATCATAATTATTCAATTAAAATCAGTTGCCATCATTATTGCCATCTTACTTGTGAAATCTCTAATTCAATCTTAGAGACTTATGATATATTCCGTAGATAGTTGTTGTATAGCAATGCTCGGCCATAATTGGCATTTATTCAATTTGAAGTTATCATCGATATCTTACCTATTGTAAGCATTCAGTAGCAGGCTGTGTTGTATAGCAATGCTAAGCCATGAATCATGTTTATTCAAGCTGAGGTTACCGTCGATTTCAAGTTACTATTGATATATTACTCGTGAGTTTTTCATTTTTCATTACAATGGTAACATCTTATAATTTTGTAGATGGTTGCGTTGTGCTATACTGCTAAGCCATTAATCTTATTTATTCAATCTGAAACTACCTACTCATCTTACTCATAATTCTGTCATCACAATGGCAACAGCTAATATGTTTAGTAGATGGCTGTGCTGTATTACAATGGTTAAAGCCATGAATTATATTTATCCAATCTGAAGTTACTTTTGATATATTACTTATGATTTATTCATCACAATGGTAACTTGTGATATGATTATTAGATGGTTGTCATGTTAAACACAGCTAAGCCTTGAGTCATATATTTAACAATTATTCCACGAGCGCGTGTTGGATATGAGATGATAGATAGCCAACGAGGCGCGTAGCGCCCAGTTGGCTATAATCAACTCATATCCAACAAGCGCGAGTGGAATAATTGTCTTATTAAAAAAAAAAAACGCCCCCAAGATATTAGAGAAATCTTTTCTACTTTATTTTGTAACAAGAAATCGGATGTTACAATGTACAGATATTAGATTATGGTATATTGGCTCATATACCATAATGGCTAAGCCATAATTCGCTAGACTGACTAAATAAATAAACCATAAAAAAATCGCGGTTTATTCTAAATAACTATCTTTATTGACCCCTAAAAATGATCAGCATCTAATTTCTCTAAACAATGTCACCTCTTATTGTGGACTTATACCAACTTGGACCGGACTGCTTCTAAAGAGGCTGCGACTAAAACGTCCACGAACCTTATCATATTCTACTAGGTGGTGTAGGAGTGCATTGAAATCTCCCAGCTCTGATTTTTCGGCTGCAAATAATTTATTACAGATATTCTTTTAGAAAACTAACAAGTTGTTCTAACTCGACAAACCAACGGTGCTACAAGCTTCTGAACCCATGGTATTTTTCAGGGACTTTACAGCACCTAAAACTGAGTAAATTGAATGGCGTGTTTCAACCCCTCCTTATATGTTTTACTACAAAATTTACTTTTTCAAAACAGAGAGGAAGAGTTGCAGATTTTTGTTTATAATAAAAACAGATACAAAAGTAGGTAAGCAATACGAAAGAAAACCCAGAAATTGAAAAGTTGCTCTTGGTCAGCCTCATTTCCATGTCCCAGAGGGGCTCCAAGAGGCCGTGAGCCGTAATTTCCCAAGTAAAATAAATTTCAATCTTAAAATATTCATTTCGTGATGAGCACCCCAGGAGGTACAGAATAATCTTTTTCGGATTTAATGTTTGAGTGACGTTACACTTCAAGAGATAAATGCCTCAGCGAGGTTGAAAAAGTAACAGTAAAGTAAATGAAACGTAAAATCGTCGTTTATTTATTTTTCAGGACAACACAGGAGATTTGATCTGCAGCATGAATTATCTGTAGATGCCTTGGGGTCTACTTGCACATTGGAGGAACTCAGCAGGGCGTAAGACCAAGGCGAGTTCAAGGAACGCCGCAATCTTATCTTCTCTGCAGGTGCTGCGCTAACGACTCCAACACAAACGAGGAACAAAATCAAAGTGAACTTCATCTGAGGAAGCAAGAAAAACACTAGGTTGGACACATTCTTCCGAAATATAAGGCTACATTAAAGAAATAGAGAAACCTTGGCTGTGCTCTGTTCTGTTTCAAAGCACGCAGGAAGCCGCCAGAGCACGAAAGAAGTGTCCTCTTGAGTGATCTAGCCGCTTCCAAAGTGCTTTATAACGGAACAGAGCAAAGGCAAGGCTTCCCCATTTGTTTACGAATCCGTTAAATTCCCCACGCACAACTATCAATTTTCAAAACAAATTTTATTTCCAAAGCGAACAACAATGTCGTTAACATGCACTATAATCTCATTAAACAGGCTACAATAACCAATCAAAATGGTTCAATTAATCTGATTGGTTGAACAAGACTAGAGATGTCAAAAATGTCAAACCATGAAAGTTCACAAACCATCAAAGTTCAAAATCTGCTAAAGTTCACAAACTGAAATGGTTCGGCAAGTCGAATTTAACACTCGCTTGCCTGAGGCTTTTTAGTCTCAATATTCAGTGAATTGTTCTCTGCTCATATTATCATAACGTCAGTCTTGCATGGCAAGGAGTGAAAAGCAGTAAATATGAAAAATCAAGAGATTCAAACAAAACAAAACAATATTTATCATATTGAACGCAGCCAAATGCACCTCAACTCTCGCCAAAAATGGACGGCAGTACCTTGCTGAGATAAAGGTCTTGAAGGAGTTTCGTCTCTTTATTTCGGTTCGTCTTTGCCAACTTGTAAAACGACCTTTAACATTATGGAAACCGCGATAGCTCACTTACACTAACTACACTCATTTTATCTTGGGGCTCTTGCGGCTGCCGGAATCGATCATGAAATTACGTGGAAGGCAGTAAAAAGATACTGACTTGAATCGCAATATTGCATTATTTCAGTCAGATTAATCAGATATTTTCCGCAAACAATCAAGTTCGTAAACATACCTTTCAAGCAAGTTTGGGTGTGAATTGTAGTGCAACAGCTTACAAAATGCTGCCTATGAGCACAGCACGTCCTAAATGAAGCAATTCATGGTTATGTTAAATATTGATTGGTGTTGAAAACTTAGGTCAACCTTTCAACCAATCAGATATATTTGCTGTGTGAATTTACATTCAAGGGGGTAATATTTGCGTGACCGGAAATGCGTAGATTGTGCAAAAGCGAAACTTTAATTCTTTTTTGGACCACTAAATATCCTAAGAATAAGCCCATCATTTTTTAATGGAGATATCTACACCACTTTAAGATAAAGAATTTCGTGTGAAATATAATTCGTGATGTTACGCACTTCGGAAACGATTTATTGGCTGGTCTTGATATCAAGCGTTTAATTGTAGTTTAAAAAGTGACGAGCTCAAAAGCAGCAATTTTAATGACATGATTTCCATTCTTTTGTCTCTAACAAGAGAACAAAAGTGATGACCAAGCGAGTGACAGCGGTCTTAAAAGGTAAGTGTAGTCTTCGTGATAAAAAACTAAAACAATAGGCAAAACCAATTTAGACACTCCCACGCATCAGACACCAACGGAGTTAATTGACTTGTGCTCACGTTATTTTTATCACTCACCCTATTTCGTGCTCTTGTCCTACGCACCATGATTGTCGGAGTTATATTATAGACAATTAAGGGCACTCTTTGGACGTTGGTTGCATACCTAGTTTTCCGGCATTCGTAGAAAAGAATACTTCTTGTGGAAAAGAATCAATTTGAAATTGCCTGTTTGGGTTTTCCCTGAAAGCTTTCAAACGTTCCTCGTAGCTCAGCGAATTTTGAGGATGGAAAACCAAGCAACCGAAGTAATAAGAAATACGTGTTACTATCAACAGTGTATTGAAAAGCTTTGCTGATGCTTAAAATCGGAGCAAAAGATGACATACCTCAACCACTGCATGAATCAGTTGATTGTTAAGGTTATTGAAATAAATCGCGTATTTCACTCAGACTGGTCAGTACACATTTCAGTACGTTATAATTTTTCGCCATCCATCATGGATCTGCATCTATGGTTTATCCAAGAGTACGATCGCAGGCAATGGAGTCTAAATCGGTCTATCACTGTCGAAGCTCACCACTTGCCGGGGTGGCTAAACTTTGTGGCCGATTTCGAATCCCGAGCTCACCCAGATTCCAGCGACTGGAAACTGGAACCATCCATCTTTCAAGGGATTAACAACAAATGGGGCCCCTTCACAATAGATCTTTTTTGCAAGCAGACTGACAACACAACTACCCAGGTTTGTGAGTTGGAAGCCAGATCCACAGGCAGAGGCAGTGGATGCCTTTACTCTGGATTGGAGCCAGCTCAAGGGATACGCATTCCCTCCGTTTGCCCTGATAGGGCGGTGTCAGTCAGTCTCTCAGTTGACAATAGTGACTCCAGTGTGGAAAACCCAACCATGGTACCCCTTTTTGTTAGAAATGACAATAGACAATCTCCTATTTCTCCCATCGTTCCCAGGGCTACTGAGACGAGAGATCGAGTTGCACCCTCTTGCCCACCTTCAACTAGCCGCATGGCTAGTGTCAGGAGTCGATATGAAGGTACAACAGTTTCACTGCCAGCTCAAAGACTGCTCCTGGCTGTATGGAGAACCAGGACAGAAAAAACTTATTCTTCAGCCTGGAGAAAGTGGACTTGTTTGTGTCGTGAACAAGTCAATCCTCTTTCAGCATCTTTAGGTTCAGTGTTAAACTTCCTAGCCAGTCACTTTGAGGCAGGCCTGGAGTATCGTACTCTAAACGTGTATCGTTCAGCTTTGTCTGCGACACACCCACAAATTGAAGGTTACAATGTTGGGGAACATCCCCTTGTAGTTCAGCTCCTAAAAGGGATTTTCAATTCCCGTCCACCAGTACGCAGATACAAATCTACATGGGATGTTAACATAGTTACGAGTTATTTGGAAGGTGTGGGTTCGAATGCGCAACTATCGTTAAAGCAACTTAGCAAAAAATTGGCATTTTTGCTTGCGATTACTTCTGCCGAGAGGGGCTCTGAATTAATTGCCCATGATTTACGTTTTAGACGATTTCATCCAGAAGGTGTTTCTTTTAATCTCCCAGAACTTACTTAAGGGGTTTGGGTTGGATAACCCTTGAAGACCTCCTTTCACTCTAGTTTCCCAGAAAATGAGTTCCTCTGCCCATGCTCGTGTCTTAAAGAGTATGAAAGGCGAACACAGGCTTTTAGGCCAGAATCAGTGGCTGCTCCAAACAGGTTATTCCTCTCAGTGAATAACCCTAATAAGCCTGTGAGTTCTGCTACCCTGTCTCACTGGGTTAAGAACTGTCTGTTGGAAGCTGGAATTGATAACAAAGTATTCAGGCCTCACTCCACTGGTGGAGAAGCTACTTCTGCAGTGCTGAGAGCAGGCATCTCTATTCCAGAAATAGTTTGTCCAGCTGACTGGACAAATGAGTCCACTTTCAACAAGTTTTATTTTTGTCCTGTTTGGAATGCTAGTGTCGGCCGCTCTATTTTAGCTAGTGCTGCAGTTGAACCGAGGTCTTGAAGCTTTGAAAATACATTGTTATATAGAGATGAGTATTATGATGTACAATTGGAAATTATGCAAAGGCTGCTTGTAGCCTGAAGTATAATTATAATTGTACGAGTAATAGGAGGCGAGATATAACAATGTACCTCCCTCCCGCCACTCCCCCTTTATGCATTTTTAAATTTTTTGTTCTAATTTCTTTACAGATTGTTACCAGTTGTTACGCTCCACAAAAAGGCGAGGTTTCTAAGGGGTGCCGGCAGATATGGCAGGGTGGCCTCGTTTTGAATTTAAGCTGTTTATTTATAGTTGTAAACTTTAAAACGCTGTCATTGAAGCAAAAATAAAGGCATTTACATTGTTATATCTAGCCTCCTATTATTCGTACAATTGTAATTATACTTCAGGCTGCAAGCAACCTTTGCACAATCTCCAATTATGAGTGAATTTAAAGACTCTTGATTTATCTTTCAATACATCTATCACTACAATAGATTTTATAAAATGCATGCATTCCTTGAAAGTTCTCAAATTGTATGGGTGTACCAACATTGATGCTGTAAATATGGTGAGGTGCCTTAAGGTTACCGTGCACCTTCAGGGTTGTCTCGCGTGCAAGCGATGTAGTGCATCCCGTTTAAACTGTAGATATCTAAATTCCTATATCAAATTAAAGCTTATAGGACTGGCTATCAGACTATACCAAAAATTTTGAAAAAAAGTTCATTGTCGAATTTTTCACGACTTCTAAATGCGAGCGCCCGAATCACCTTTTGAACGTTACATGTTAAAGCGAATTTTGTTTTACGCTTATTTAATGTGTTCCTCCGTTTCCGGGGCCAAAGCGCTAAAAAACGTGTCTACGATTTGCCATATTCAATTTCAGTGAAGAGTTACAGAACATTTTTGAAATAGGATTTAAAAAATGTGGAGTGATCGTAGAAAAAATCGTTCTTGAAAAAAAAGTATTTAGAAATAAAAAATTTGGAGACATGTTTTTGTTGTTTACATGTAAAACTAGCTAATGTCAAAATTTGAGAGCAATCGAACAAAATCCCTTTGACTTGTAGCTCTTAAAAGATGATTCGGGCCTCGCATTTAGAAGTGGTGAAAAATTGGACAATTAATTTATTTTTCAAAATTTTTGGTATAGCCTGATAGCCAGTCCTATAAACTTTAATTTGATATAGGGGTTTAGACATCTACAGTTTAAACCGGGCGCGCTACATCGCTTGCACGCTAGACACCCTTGAAAGTGCAAAGTAACCTTAAGCAGCGTAAAACGCTTGTAGCCCGTAATATTTCTGATTGCATTCAGCTCAGTGAAGATGAGCACATTTCAGCTTTAGTTGAGGTGTGTAAAATCCTCAAATGTCTTAAAGTATTCAAGGCTAAATGGATCTGTAAGTTTACGCTTCAAACGGCCAGGGTTATGTTACAAACAAACCAGCTAAATAAGTTTGCTGTGACTCCAACATGGGGTCCCCCCCC